CGTGGCTGTTAGCTATGAGCAGACGGAGCGCTTGCCTGCAGAGATGAGGTGGTGGTATCACGTCTAGTCCGTGTTGGTTGAGAAAGTTAGAAGATACTGAGACATTAGTCTCTATAAATTTTAAGGTCCTGACATTATGATAAAGGGGAAATTACTGTCATATCCACAAAGCAGCAAATAAATATAGACGATATTACTAGGTGAAAAATGAAAAACTGCAGAGCTGCATTGCTGGGATGGGTTTTCTGTATCTTGTTTTTTCTGCTGCTTGAGCTCGTTCTTAAAGAACCGTTAAATCTGATCCTCCCTATTAAATGTGGGCTGTACTCTCCAGCTGTATATGCCTCTGCAGCACCCGTGGTCCGCTCTCTGCACAGCATCCGTGGTACGTGGTGGTTTACAGAACAGCGATTTCTTGGCACAGATTAAAATCTAGGGAGACGTACCTGCTAGCCACCAGTTGTGACTTCTGCATACGTTCTCTTGTCTGCTTACACACTCTGTGTGTGTGTATATAAAAAAATCATATGAATAACGCATAATACACAGTTATTAGCTAAACATCTCCTCTGGTAGGAAGTTATTGGTGCTTTGTGCTTAATTAGCAAGACCTCGTTTTGTTACTAATTGCCTCTTCACTGTCTGATCTTTCAGCAGTTATTCAAGCCAAATGCTTTGCTATTATTTTAACATAAAAATAGTTCAAGAAATAATTTCAGCCTTGCTGTTTCAAAGTGGATGTTTAATCACCAACCATTTTATTATAATTACTTTTAATTACTGACAGGGTGGTTACTTCCTATTTAGTTTTAAGATAGAATAAAGCATGTACAGTTAAGCGTTTATTACTTTGGCAGGTTTTTTTACTGGAAATACTAAGAGTCTGGGCAGCTGTATCAGTGGACATTCCCCTAATTTAGATAAGTTGAACTTTTTTTTTAAAGCTTCTGTTGTGCTTTTGATTTAGGATATAGTTTCTAAAAAGAAAACTTGTCTGAATAGATTTTTCTATTATCTTCTTATCTTTCCAGAGTCCTCAGAAAGAACACCAAAGTCAGAAGCTCGCATTTGTCTTAAAACATAGTTTAAATCACTACTTGAGTAGCAGGAAAGGTGATTTATTAAAAAGCAAAATAAAAAAAGTTGCTATTGGACTAAAAAAGCTACACGTAATTTCCCCCAAGGGTGGGTGTGTGTGTGCAGGCATGCACGTGCACATTCATAAAAAGTTAGAAAAGAATTTTCAGGTTTTGAATCTCATGCCTCTGCATGGCAAACTGCTGCGTTCCTTTTTCAGGGTAATTACAGGAGGAGTACAAGGGATTACGGACATTTATCTGAGTGATAGAGCAAGAACAAGGAGAATGAATTGCTTTGCATGCTCTGAGCTATGAGTTGTAGGTGGAAGGTGAGAAGAAGAAATACTGATCACTGGTGACTTCTCATTAGTGCAAAATTTATTTTCAAGGAATAGGTGTTTTTTTGTGTTCCAGAGGGCCTGGTGGCAGCTCCGTCCTTTTAGAAACTAAAAGGAAACCGGTACTGAGATGCTTCGTTTGTTTGGGGTTTTTGTCTTAATTTGGAGTAGTCCTTTGGGATAGATTGTGAGCACTTCACGTTCATATTCAGACCAATTATGCCGGTTGCGTATGACGGTAGTCCCCTGAGCCTGCAAACAGAGGCACGCCTGCCTATGCCCACTGCAGGCTGAGAATCGAGGATAGAGGATCCCTGCTGGAAACGTGATAAATGTTATTTAGATACGAGGAGAAATGCAGCAGCAGGTAAACTCCTGTAGAAGTGTACTCGTGAAATTCTCTAGTTGTGTATGGGGCTCTGAGGGGTTACGCAGGAGGAGAGGCTTTTCCTTTCTTATAATCTGTATAGGTATGTACATACGCAATGCCTGTATATTCTAGGGTTATATATATGTATATAGAGCAATCATATATCTATTATATATAAATAATTAGTAGACACTCGCATATAATACTGTTACATTTACATTTTTATAAACCTGAAATAATACTACTTTTCCTTAGTGTGAGGTTATTTACCAAGGTTTTTGTAGTAACTAATTAATAGCTGTACGAACACCTTTCAGTACTGTACCTGTGGCGCTGTTGGTAATGTCGCTCCAGAAACTTGCTCTGCTTGTGAATGTCACTAATACCCATGGGTTTAAAACAGCTGTACACTTTTTGTATTTTTATATCTTTTTATTAATAATCGCAGATGCGTTAGCAAAACAGTAGAACTGACAGCCTTGGTCGAGAGCCTGCCCAGTGGCTGGGCTCGGGAAACACAGCAGCGCAGGCTTTCTGCGTCCGCGTGCTCCCCTGCCACCTTTCCTCCGGTGACCCCTGACTTCGGGACCTTTTCCGTTCTCAGTCTCCCAGCGCTCGTGCAGATAGGGAACGGGGGTGGTTGTGTTGCTCCGGAGGAGCTGGACGGACACCAGCAGCTCTCTCCCAGCGGGGGGTTATTAATCGTTCTCACGTAGCAAAGGGTCCCGGCTGCTGCTCAGCTGGGTTGGTTTGGGTCGGGAAGGTGAAGCCTAATGTGTTGTTCCTCTAGTCTGATAAAGGCAGGCATCTTTAATTTTCTTTTTTTTTTTAACTGACTTTGTACTGCAACAGTCACTATCTAGAAAACTCTCTCCCTGAAAGCTGGTGAAAGCTCTCCTTGGTTTCTAGCCGTGAGGAACCCTGCCCCGACTTGTACCGATTTCTTACAGATTGCGTGAGAAATTAAACTCTAAAAGAAATCCAGATTGTAAAACCAATGGCATGTATGCTGTCCACCACGACTCTTCATGCCAAAATCAGGTGTGTTCCACTCCAGCATGGCATGAGGTTGATCGATAGACATTATTGTCCTGGTACAGGCTTTATCAAAGCACCTCTGCCAAAGCAAATGTCCTTATGTCTTCTCTTTGAGCCATCGGTTTGCAGGTCCGGTCTCCGCTGCTTCCGGAGACGGAGAGCTGCTGTAATTTTTGCTGTTACAGTTCATGAAATTGCCTCATAACATCCAAGTGTACTGGGCCAGGGGTGAGGAATCGGAGGATTTCCCTGCTTGCTGTGGGACACTCGCTGACACTCTTGCGAGTGCTTGGTTCAGACTCCTAAACTCCGACACCCAGCAGCAGCCCGTGGTAAAATATTCCAGCTGTGGGAATATAATAATCCAGGATTCAGATTAGCGAAGGGTCCTGTGTTCAGATCACGCAAACGGCCCTCACTACTTCTGAGTCCCTGGAACTGCCCCTCTGTGAGTCAGGGAAGGTCCGGCCCGAGTGTCCCTTGTGCAGGTGGGTCCCCACGCAGGAGCGCGGCTGTCCCGGAGGTCGGGATAACGGCGCTCGGGGGGAAGCTCCCTTCTGAAAGGAGAGAGTGCGGCACTTCTGGGTGTCGCAGAACTGGGAACGCGTTCCAGGATCCTGCTTGGTAGACCACAGTATTCCTGAAGCTCTTTTTTATTCTGGAGACTGTTTGAAATGAGGTGATTTGAAATACTTACATTTGAGCTCATTATTAATGAGTAAGCTCCAAAAACCTTCAGAGCAGAGCTTTCTACCTCTGTTACTAGCTGCATCTTTGAGTGGTTTGCCCGCCTTTCTGCCATGTGTTCCTGGAGTGCACTGATCGACCGCTGAGCTGCCTCTTCCACTGTCCTGCAATGTGAAAGTAGCACCAGATATTCCTTTGTGCATTTCTGTGTATATGGCTTTCGTAGTTGGGATTTTCAAAGCACTGATACCCGGTGTTTTCAGTTTGTTCTATGAGGGGATATTTCATTTGCATCTATGTTTTTAGCTATCCTGTGATAACTTGTTGAATATTAAAAAATAAAAATATTTTGCTTCTATTGGGACATTTGTATACTCGCAACTATATTTCTGTAAACAGCTGCAGTCAAGAATAAAACAATGAAAGTTTTCATTTTGCAGTGTAAAGTCTTGCTGTGTTTTTTTCAAGGGCATCTTCTCTCTGCTGGGAGAAAGCGTCCGTTCTTCAGTACGGAATCAACCCATCTGGGAACCATACGGCGCCCGGGTCAGGAAATACTGGGAAGGCAGGAGCCCGCGATGATTTGTGCCCGTGGCGTGTCCCGCTGGAGTTCTTGCATAAGAACGGGCACTGTGTCGTGTGTGCAATTCTAAAAAAAATGCTGTGACGTTTCTTTCCCATTTTGTGTTAAGTCCAAAGTAACCATCTGTACTACCCAACCCCCGGCTGCAAATCACAGAGCGTTCAAAGAAATCGTTTCCGTAGTCCACCCAGAGCAGGGCCGTGTCTCTGAGGGACCCGAGGGGAGATGCAGAGGGCTCCCCGGGAATGGTCTGGGGGCTGTTCTGCCCGAGGGAGGCGATGCCAGAGGTCCTAAGCGGAGATGACTGGAATTAACTGCCTCTCCAGAAGTAGCATGGTCCCGCTTTATCCGTATCTTTGGTGTATGATGCTAACAATGATCTGGGGGTTGCTGAGGCTCAGGTGCGTGTTCCCCTTCCTGCTGCAGGGATGTAACCTCCAGCGGGAGCGTGGGGCCGGCAGCCAGGATCGGTAATTTTGTAATTTCGGGGTAAGAAGAAACACTGCAGTTACTCCGCGAGCTGGGCAGGATGCTTCATTGTGAAAGGTTTAAGCAGATCGATCTGAAAGGCTTTCCCCCGGTGCCTCTCCCTTCAGCCGTGTGCTCGCTGCCGGGGTCAGATGTGGCCGTGCTGCGGGGGGTGGGGGGGCAAATGCAACACCCTGCCACTGGCTTTTGCCCCCCCTGGAGCTGCAGGCTTTTCCCCCCCCTGGAGCTGCCAGCCCTGCTGCAGCCATTCGCTACCCACCCCCCTCGTTAGTGGCACTGTGGTGCCATGGGACAAAAGAAAACACCCCGAGAAGCCCTCCCTCGGCCTCCTCTTCCTCTTGAGGCTCAGAGAAAGGCACACCCCGGCCCGTGAGCCTGCCACAGGCAACCACAGAAGCAAGACTGAGCCACGGTGCTATGGGTTTTTGTGTTTATTAGCAACGCAGCCATTGCCTGGGGCTGAGCAGGGAAGCCACCACCTCGCCCGGCTCCCCCTGGTTCTGGCAGGCCATCCCGGGTCACAGCCTCCCCAGACCCAATGACTATCACCCCCAGCCGCTGCCACTCTTCAGGCACCAGAGAAGCGTGGAAGGAAAGGCCCGGCCCCTGCCCAGGGCGGCTGCCTTTGGAAGGGTGCTGGGAGAGGCCTCACCTTCCCGGAGCCATCCGGCGTTGGGCAGCAACGTGCAAGGCCCAGGCAGATGGTCCCTCGCAGCACCGGCTGCGGAGGGCCCTGTCCCGCCCTTCACCTCCTCTTCACAAACTTCTTTGTCACGGCATTGGGGTTCAGGCGCCTCCTGCCAGCGCCCAGGGCCGTGTCCCGGATTTGCAGATTGGCCGCGCGGCTGTAGACGTCGTTTTCCGCAAAGGGCGAGACCCCGGCGATGTAGTCGGGGTCGAAGACGTTGGTCTTCTGCCTGGCCTTGCGGGACAGCCGCTGCTGCGGGAAGGGCTGGTCTTCCACCAGGTGAGGGTTGTTCGCGTGCTTCCCTCCTTTTGGGGCTGGCAGCGGGTACTGCCAAGAGAAAAGCAGTCATTAAACTCGCTTCAGGGGCAACTCTTGCTCAAAGGGACTTGAAGATGACCGCAGGCCTCTAGGGAAGAACTGAGCAAACGAAGCCCGAAAGCCTTGGGGTCAAGTGGAACGTCTGGAGGTCGATCACAGCTTCGCTTTGATTCCCACCTGCCAACGGTTCCCTCCAACCCACCGGCCACAGGCCAGGCCCTTGTCCCGGCAGCAGCTGCCCAGCACGCGACGTACAGCTACTCACCCTGAGCCCTCGGGGGTTCAGCACCTTGGGGTTGCGGGAGAAATGCATGTGGAGGCTCCCGTCATCGCTGACGCTCACTGCGACCTTCTTCAGGGTCTTGTTACCGCAGTGGGGACAGAAAACCTTGGTCATGTCCGAAGTGGTCCTGCAAGACAGGGACAGAGAGGGTTTACTGCTCCCTGGGCCGTGGAATACAGGCTTAGCCCACGAGCAGGATCATCCACCCAGCCCCAGCAAGCACCACACGCCCGCGCCGAGGGCAGCGCCGCTCTGCGCACGCACACTCACTTGAAGCAGCCGTGGCAGCGGAGGATGTAGCTCCTGGCCTGGCGGATCAGCATGCCATTCACAGCCAGCACGTGGAGGCCCATCTGCAGCAGCACGTTCTGCAACGAGGAGGGAGAAACCGGGACGCCGTGAGCTGGGACTGCCAGGAGCTTTAACCGGGGTTTGCCAGCCCAGGCAGCGAGAGGCTGACGGAAGCGATGCCAACGGGCTTTGCGGAGGCCTCTGCAGCGGAGAGAACTGACTGCTTTTACGGTAAAAGGAGCTGTCACAAAGCTGCTCTCATCCTGTCCAGGGGACTCAGCAATGCGCTCCTCTGTCTCGGTGTGCTGGTTTAACCAGCCCGGAGCTTTGAGTAATTTGAGAATCTGCCCCCACCCCCCCCCCCCCGCCCGCCGGGCTCCTGAGGCCGGAGCCGGTCCCGTGCAGGGCAGGAGCCAGCACCCACTGCATGGCAAAAGTCAGTGGTGACGCAGCCGACCTGGACGCCGACAGGAGCAGTGTCACAGTGCCCCGTGTCCTGCTGGACCTGCTTGAGGTTGCTGGGTGTTATCCAACCCTCGTCATCACTCTCCTCCTCGTCCTCCTCTTCCTCAGCACTGGCCCCATCCTCAGAGCTCTGGTGCTCCTCAGTGCTCTCTGGGCTAATGGAGATGGCCTGAGCTTTCTGGGGTGGAGAAGACGGTCAGCTATAGCACACGCCACGCTCCCGGTCAGAAACCAGGGTAGCAAGGACAGCGAGGAGAGGAGGCTCTGGGTCTCACCAGCAGCTCCTGCAGCTCCTCCTCGATGCTGGGCAGGGGGGCTCGCCAGTAGCGGAAGGAGCTGAACTCATCGCTCTCAGATGGGACCGCATTCCTCTCGGGGCTGGGCTGACGCTGGCCTTTCCCCGGGTGCTTGTGCTGTGGGGGGACACAGGACAGGGTGTCCCTCACCTGCCGCTGCCCGGGGT